GCTTCTCTGATTCTGAAATTTTTATCTGTCTCTGTCCCCATTAGTCCATAAAGGTCCTAAGAGCAGGCAGCAGGTATTAAACCCAGTAAGCTTGTCCTGTCCCTCCAGGACACTCTGACTACTCTCTCTCCTCTAGCCTACTCTTCACACTTCCATCACAGGACCCGTATTGCATGTTGCTACTGCACTTCTCTCGTTCTATTTGTACCTACGTCCCCACTACTAGAATACACTCCTAGAAGGTGGAGGTTGGAACCTATTCATCTCTGCAGCCCTAGTGCCTAGCCCAGTGTAAGCTATATAGGAGGTGTTCAATAAATGCTCACCTGAACAGAACATTCCAGTACAATGACAACAGTGTAAGATAACGGCAAAATCTTACAGAAAAACACTGGAAGGAAATACCATTATCAAAATGTTACTGACAGTTATTTTTGAGTAAGATGAGCCCATGATCGATGGTATTCTTTCCACTTCCCTCTAGTCTCTAAATTTTGTACGATGAACATAGTTGCTTTTATAAAGGGAAAAATAAATTTAACCTTAAAGCAAAAAGAACAACCCTTTCCAAGTCATTTAAAGACACTATACAATGGTTCACAATCACTCCAACTAACAGGAAGAACCTAGAACCTCAAACGAGCAGAGCAAAACCTTAAACTGGGAGCGTAGCTTGGTAAACCAAGAGTTCATCCCGGGTGGACCAGACAGTGCTATCTACTGTACACACCACTGCCCAATCCTGTCAGACAGCTACTGGATGATCCAACTCAGGAAAAAGGAGAATGAATTTTAGTTTATTTGCTCTTGGACAGAGATCCAGATGATGAAAAACTGCCTTCACAGTTGGCATACTGCCCACTGGAAGTGAAAGGAAGGTTCTAAAGCAAAGTAACCCTGTCATGAGCAAAACATGTCTGAAGGAACCGTGAGAAGAGACGCCCAGCCCCTCACATTGCAGACCTGTGTAGTGCCCCCCTTGCATGGTGCCATGATGATTGCACACAGCATACAGGTCATAGATGTAGTCCTCAGGGTCCCGCCCGAGTCCATAGGGCCGTCTCCATGGGGACCAATGGGACGGCAAACTCCAGCTGCTCTGGCTTCTCTTAACCACATGAGGAGTCATGTCCAGGCCAGTCAAAGGGAACTTGACCATGTTCTGAAGTTTCATATGCCTGTCTCCTTCCTGTTACAAGAAGAAAAACAAGTTCTGATGATATTTTAATGCAAGCAGATAGCAGATCAGTTTAGCATGGAATGTGGACCCTACCAGCTGAAGAGGTTTGATTTGCCTATCTGATGTTTCCTAAGATACATACAAAACAGGGAAGCAAACTAACAGTTTTAATTATCTATAGGAACAAGTTTTAATCTCCCTAAGAGTGGAACCAGTGATGACCTACATGTAAGGGGTGAAGGAGTCTTCATTTCGTTATCTGTTGAAGGGCACTAATTCTATTAGTTTTTTCACTTACAAAAGTGACAACTGCAGGTGGTTCATCCTGATATCTCTGTCACAGAGGCATGAAAATAAAGAGAGTGGTCGGGGGCAAAGCACAGAGCCTGGCACAAAATATCTCTTGGGTAAATGGTGCCCCTTTCTTCTCCACCTCCTCCGACAAGTACATTAAAAGCTGTTAACAAGGACTTAGCTAAATATATTCATTTAGTTGATGATCTTGGGTAATCTCCACTTTCCATTAAGCCTACAGGGAAATCCTTTGAAAAGCAACCATCAACTGAACAGATATTTACTGGATGTTTCCCATCTACAAGAGATTAAAAAAATATGAATCAGACATGGATAATGCCACCCCAATGACCTATAAATCTATTAGGAGAAGGAGAGTTTCATAAAGAGAAAGGCAGGATGGGCCCTGGACTGTCACAAAGGTCAAGCTAAAGAATTTGGACCTTATTCTGTAGTAAACAGGGAGCCATGAGGCTTTTATGATGGGAGAAGTAGTGTCATCAGAGTTGTGGGCAAAGTGTGTAAGCAGTGCATAAAACACGTTAGAATGGGAAGAGTGTACTGAGAGCTAGGAAACCAATTAAAAAACACTGCAATTGCGATCAGCTGAAAAGTAGCAGAACTCTGAACTGGCAGGGTGACAGCAAGAATGGGGAGAAGGAAACACATACAGGAGTCAATGGAGAAGCACAACCAAGCTGGAGAGGCGACTGCCTAGATGAGGGGGACAAGAAAGAAGTCTAAGATGACACTGGAGTTTTGTTCCCCAGGTTACTGAAGGGTGATGACAGGCTTTTAAAAGAAACAGAAAGCAAAGGAAAATGAGTCTTGTGTGTGTGGAAGGAGAAAGAAGGCTAGAATCCAAAAACCCTCAACCAGCTATCCATCTGCAGATCCCGATGGAAATATGCAGTTGGGACACTCAAGGCAGTGCCCATTCTTTACTACTAGGAGCTTAACCCCACCCCACTCTGTGAAACCCCCAGTCCTGGGGACCAGGTGCAGGTCACCCTTGACACTTCCACTTCACCAGCAGATCCTAACCATTTCTCAAATCGATTCACTTCTCTCCGTCTCCACTGTCACAATTCTATTCCAAGCTATTAGGATCTCTCCCTGGACGGCTGCAATGGCCTCCGCTGGTCTCCCACCCACCTCTCCCACCTCAACTCACATCACTAGTTTCAAAACACTAATTTATTCATATTGCTTCTCTGCTTAAAACTCATCATTAGAATCCCACTCTACCTACAAGGGCCAGCTTCGACAACCAGTCCACCCACCTCTTCCACCTTAACTCACATCACTCTCCCCCTCCAGCCAAAATGGCCTGCTTTCAGCTCCTTGACCATGCTACATGTCCCTGGGCCACAGGGCTTTGCACACATGCTTTCTCTGCCAGGATGCTCGCACACCATGTGTGTGCAAACCTGCCCCACCTCATCTAGTCAATGCCTACTCATCTTCCAGATACAAAACTTAAAGCCAGGCCTCACAGACTCCTCTAACATTTACCTCTTATCTACCTCTCCCACAATGGAGCTGTCTAGGAAAATCCTAACTTCATGGAATAGACAACCTTTTTGGAAAAACTGACTCACAAAGAATATTTTCTTTGTATATATTTATGACTCATCTCCCCATCTATACATTTCCTTGAAAGGAGGACAACACCTATTATTATTTTAAGCAGAAATAGAATCTACCTCCCCTAGAAATGATCCCTACCTATTTTTTTTTTAATCCCAAAGTACACTTATCAAAATTTAAGCACAACCCTTAAAGCTTAAATACTAAAGCAAACCCTCAAGGACAAAGTAAAATACCTGCAATATGAACTAAAATATTTTAGTATTTAAAGGGTCACAGGATACAAGATTCTCAAATTTCGCTTTGGCCAAAAGCAAAACATAACCCCAAACACAGGGGCAGATCACCAAAAATCAAACCCGTTGTCATCGAGTCGATTCCAACTCATAGCAACCCTAGAGTTTCCAGGGCTGTAATCTTTTTCCTACGGGGTGGCTGGTGAGTTCAAAATGTCAACCTTTCTTAGCCACTGCACCACCAGGGCTCCTAAAGGAGCAGATATGTGCCTGTGTTTACACAGACAAGCTCCCTGCATGGATCAAAGAGGCACACCAGAGAATTCCCACAAAGGCCCAACAGCAGGCGGCATAAGAACCTTGGTTACGGGCTTGTTTTTTTCCCTACAAAAAGAGGATGTCCTTACCTGTCGAAATCTCTTTAGATGTATAATAAGCACATCAGGCAGAGTCCACAAGCTTAAAGTAATGCTCCCCTGCTGCAGCTGCTTACAGTGTGGGCAACGCCAGGCATCATCTGGGGCAAGCTGAAAACAAGATCACGACTTCTATTAGGCATCACTTCACACAGGACATTTTACAGGAGACAGCTGTGCTAATTTCTTAACCAGGGCATGGTACAACTCAGAAACTCTCTGGAAACTGGACTATAACACATTATGGGAGTAAATGGAAAAACACAATCAAAAGTGGCATCTGGACAGAGTTGGTACCCAAACGTTTGTTGAGAGTACCCCTCAAAAAGGAACGACTGAACAGGTAAATACTATATAGAGAATGTTAGATCTCACAGAAGCACCTCAAATTCAGCATATTCCCCAAACTCAACTCATCCCCTTTCCATCCAATATGGTTCCTCTTTCTCTTCCTATATGTTCTGCCTCAGCAAATACCACCACCACCACCCCCATCTACCAAAGGCAAAAACATGAGGGGTTATCCCAAACCTTTACCTTTCCTCCTTCTTTCATGTCCATCCAAACAACTTCTCTCTGCCATTTTCTGCCATTCTTCTCTCCATTTCCACTCATCTGTTGCTGTCAAGTTGATTCTGACTAATAGTGACCCTACAGGACAGAGTAGAACTGCTCCACAGGGCTTCCAAGGTTGCAATCTTTATGGAAGCAGACTGCCACATCTTTCTCCCATGAAGCCGCTGATGGGTTTGAACCACCGAGCTTTTGGTTAGCAGTCAGCACCAGCTGGTGGTTAGCATCCCCACTAACACCTTCTTAATTCAAAGTCCTCGCTCGTTTTCTCACCTGGACTTCTTCAAGTCCCCTAACTGTTCTCTCTCCCCCAAGCGCTGAACTTCTCCAAATAATCCTCCCCCGACTGCTACCAACGAGATCTTTCTATACATCAATCTGAGGTCTCAAATCCACATACGTCATCTCTGCAGGCAGTGAGTTTCAGGAGAGGGATATACTAAGTTTGAGGTGCCAAGAGGGCAATGTATGGTGACAGATTTTAAAAATCTACTCTGGAGTTCAGAAGATACATCAGGTCTGGGAAGTAAGTAAGGGAACTGTGAAGTAAGGGAAGCCATGGGAATGGATGACACTGAGCACTGAGGGGGGTAGAGCCAAAGAACGGGCATCTTGGGGAATGCCTATTTTTAAGGGAAACACAAAACTGAGAAACCACCAGAGCCTAAGAATGCACAGTCAGAGAAACAGACAAATCAGAAGCATCCCTTTTATGCACACCAAGGAAAAGGAGTGCAAGAAAGGGGTGGTAATCAGCAGCAGATCCCACGTAGAGGTCACATGAAGACTGAGAGAAGGCCACTGAGAACTTCAGAGGCCAGTGTGAGAAATCCAAGTGAGACAAAGGACAAGAGGTTTTGGAGGGAGGGAGCGAGTGAGTGAAAAGAACAGAAACCACTAACAGTGAACAGAAAGGAGAAACGCAGGCATAGTAATATGAAAGGGAAGCAGAACTGAGGAATCTCCAAGATGGGGAGAGCCAATCATGTTTGTAGATGAGGAAGGACAGTTTGTGTGACATATTAATCTACATACGTGGCTACCTAGCTCAGTGTTTATGATAAAGGAGCAGGTGTTTGAATTTTCAATCATTACAAATTGATACTTTCATAAAATACAGTAAAAATGTTGTGGCAATGTCTACTTGCTATCAAAGTTTCTAAAATGCTTCTCTGATTTCTGCACTTTCTTGTTGTAAACTGCTAACAAGAGCTCCTGGACCAGCACCAACCTGCAGTCCATACTTTGAGTATCTCTGGTCTCGCTGACTCTGTCTAGCAAATGAAGGGGGCTCTCTCAGGAAGCAGCTCGTTCCACTTTCAGATAGTTTGTTAAAAAGTTCTTCCTGTAATTGCCAATCTTTAAGTTCTGCCTTTTAGATACAATTAAGTCCAATTCCTCATCCACAGGGCGGTTCTTGAAGTGTCTGAAAATAATTATCAGATCTCACTAAGGCCTCCTTCATCAAAACGTATTCAGCCGTGCCGTGACACTGTACACTGAGAGGGAAGAGAAAAGAGCCAGGACAGACTCTAGATGCACCATCCCTGTTCACTCTCTGGACATATCGCTGTCTGCCATCATCTCAACAGTAAACTTCTAAGACGATGACAAGAGCAGCGCTATTACCACCTGAGTTCTTGACACTGTTTCCAAAGCATCGTAAGGCAGCGATGACACTGGCTGACCCTCTGATCAATACTGAGCTTGCAGATAACTACACCCCAAAGTTACCGTCACACAGCCTACTGCTAAATCTCACCTTCCCTTCTGTATTTGTACTGTTATTTTGGGACCCAATGACTAAACTTCCCATGTGGCACTCATTTATTCATTCACTTACTTATTTATTAACACCTTCTATGTGCCAAGCGCTGCTCTGGGTGCTAGTGTTGTTTACTGACCAAGACACATGGAGTCCTTGCTCTCCTGGAGCTTATATTATCTTAACTCCCTCGCCCCGTGTGCTCCAGCCACACTGGCCACACTGTTCCTCAACCACGCCAAGTTCCTTCTACCCCAGACCTTTTTATTTATTTGTTTACTGTCTCCCCACTAGAATGTAAACTGAATGAGGGCAGGAACCTGGTCTGTTTGTTCCTTGCTATATAGGGTCGCTATGAGTTGGAATCGACTCGACAACAACGGGTTTGGTTTTTGGTTTTTTATATCCCCAGTACCTTGTACAGTGCCTAGCACATAGTATGTGTTCAATAAACATTTACTGAATGAGTGAACCCCTATTAAAATGTATCTAGCTTGCTTGAACTCATCATTCTAGATCAGCGAGAGCCTTTGTAGAATACTGGGTTACAAAGTGTCCCCAAAAGATATGTCCAAGTCCTTGACCCCAGTACCTGTGAATGTGACCTTATTTGGAAACAGGCTCTTTGAGATGTAATTCAACTAAGGATCCTGGAATAAGATCATCCTGGATTTAGGATGGACTCTAAATCCAATGACTGATGTCCTAGTAAGAGACAGAAAAGGAGAAGACACACAGAGGCACAGAGGAGAATGTCACATGAAGACAGAGACAGAGACTGGAGTTATGCACATACAAGCCAAGGAGCACCAAGAATTGCTGACAACGACTAGAAGCTAAGAGAGAGGCACAGAACAGATTCTCCCTCAGAGCCTCCAGAAGGAAGCAACCCTACCAACGCCTTGATTTCAGACTTCTGACCTCCAGAACCGTGAAAGGACATGTTCTGGTTGTTTCAAACCACCCAGTTCGTGGAAATTAGTTACAGCAGCCCTAGGAAACCAATACAAACAACAGTGCTGTCATCTACTAAGTGCGTTCTCCCCTATGCTTTCTGACGTGCTCAAACATCACCAATGTCAATAAAAAACAGAAGCTAAATTGAAAAACAGGACAGGTTCTCATATAGAGCCTGCAATCAGACAGTTTTCAAAATCAACTAACTTTTATAATCAAGCCCAAAACTAAAAAAGTATGTCTTAGGAGAAACTATTGGTAAAGGAACTGACTCTGAACAGCTTGAGGGAGAGAAGATTCAGTGAGAACATGAAAACTATTTTCAAATATTTGAAGGTGAGACAAGCGTTAAAAAAAAAAAAAAAACTTGTCAAATGTTCTTAAGGTACTCAAGATACAGAAATAACACCTGTCAGTTGTAGTAAGCTGAAGACATTACTACAGGTTAACCTCAGTCACCATCAGAGCTATCTAGAAATCAAACTGTGTGTCTCCTGAGTAGGCAAACGTCTCATAACAAAAGGTATTCAAGTAGACGCTGGACGATCATCTATTTGAAACTAGGCAGAAGAACCAAATGTTTAGAAAAAAGGAGTTTTTAAAGTCCCCTCCAACTCCAAAAATGCATGACCCCCTATATACAAAAGGGGAAAGTTAACAACTAGTAATCAAAAGCATGATCCTAAACATCAACACAAGGCTTTATGAATTAATTCCAAGCGCTCTAGTCAAAGTTTCTCAAAGTGCATGAATCTCAGAACTACCTGGAGAGGCTGAAAAAACACTCAGGACCTGGCCCCACTCACAGAGACTTATTTTTCACAGATCTGAGCATCCACTCATTCAAATAGTTGCCAAACCCCTACTGTCTGCAAAGCACTGTGCTAAATGATCTAAAGCGCCACTGTCCAATAGAACTTTATGTCTGTACTATTAGATACAGGAGCCACTAGCCATATGTTCTTCCTGAACACTTAAGATGTGGCTACAGCAACTGAGGAACTAAATTTTTCTACATTTCATTTAATTCTAATTACCTTGAATTTAGATAAGTTTCTGGCACCTATGTTCTTAAAAGGAGCCATGGTGGTACAATGGTAAAGCACTCAGCTGCTAACCAAAAGGTCAGCAGTTCAAACTCATCAGCCACTCCACAGGAGAAAAGACTTGGCGATCCGCTTGTGTAAAGATGACAGCCTAGGAAACCCTATGGGGCAGTTCTACTCTGTCCTATAGGGTTCCTATAAGTCAGAATTGATCTGATAGCACACAACAGCAACAACAGATGTTCTTAGAAAGTACCAAAAAGTTGAGAATCACTGTTCTAGCCACAAAAAAAACTAATTAAAGATATCTGAATAGAAACAAAAAATAAATTATTAACAATTAAAAAAAAAGACGAAACTACAAAGGTTCAATTCTAGAGCATTCCAATTAATCAAAGTTTCTGAAAATTCTAACTACTTTTTGTTAATAATATCTAAAAGGAACAGCACTAACGCACCCATTAAGTGTGCAGACCTAGCATAATGCAAAAACCCTTGAGAGTTTTCTGAGACATAATTTGTTTCTCCATTGTCATCTTGTCAGTGTCCCCTCTTCATTTCCCCTACTCTCCTCATCTCCCAAGAAATGCCGCCCATTCTCTTACCCGTTCCTCTTTGGTGTAGAGTTGGAAACACTGGGATAAAGTGCAAGTTTGAGGCTGATGATGACGCTCCCTTTGCAGACGGACACTTTCTGCATCAGGGATATACTCATCTTCAGTATTTACAAACAAGCTGCAATTAGGGGGAAAACGCATTTATCAGAGAATGTCTTGCACAACTGACACAAAAATATAATTATACCTTCACAAAGTGGCTATAAATTCATCACAAAAAGATCAATGTGTAAGAAAGCAAAAGTGGTAATCCAATTTTTCTATACTCCAAAATGTTGTTTAAAAGTTCTCTATCTACAAGGTAATTTTCAAGAAATAACTTGGAGTTGGCTTTTCTAGGATTGGCTATGAACTGTGTTGATTAATTCATATATTCTTGTCCCTTGTATCTAAGGGTATGTACTTGACACAGCTAACTAGTGTCAATGGGCCTGTAATAAAAAAATCAAACTAACTGAACCTATACAGTTACTGAATATATAGCTTCTGTTTCATTAGCAGCAAACAAATGTTCTAAGGTTTGGGGATCTGGAAGAGAGAACGGAATGGGAAGGAAAGGAATAATAAACTGTTTAAATAAAAGATTAGCAATACATTTGGATACTTAGCTAAAGAGAAGAGAGATTTGCGCTTCAACTAATTTGAAACATCGAAGGTGTGCTACTGAAATGATACTAAAACAAAGATTCCACAAATACGAAGTGAAAAAAAAAAATACTCACAAATCTTTTGTCTCCTTGTCCCATTCTACTACTAATTTCACATGAGCAGTACCGCCTGGTCCACAAGATTTTAATGCCCTACAGGATGGGGGGACGGGGGAGAAGCCACACATTGTTTTCTAAATAAATAATTTTATTTCAGTGTGATTGTGTCTCATTTAAAATCATAACACAGTTACTGAAAACCTTCCCATAGTTCCCCATCAGAGAAAGCTTCCAATGAGACCATTATAACCTCAAACTTAATAACTAGGTTATGTCTGGACTGAAAAATCCTTAAATTAAAATGCCTAACACATAAATAAAGAGACTGGAAAAAATGTAGGATCACATTATCAGCCTGCTAACAATCACTCTCAGATGTTGCTTATGCTCTTTATAACTTTTTGACCAATTTCTCAACTGACCCAAATAGAGACTGGGCAACGGTTCTCCCTGGGAGCAAAGTCTGCTCTTGTACCTCTCCACCTCCTCCACAGACCATGCCTAATACCATCACATGCCACATTACATGCCAGATATCATGTGGACTATGCCCACACTGATCTAAACTGTACCTGTCCTGCAAGGCACCACTCAAGTCCCACCTCCTTCCTTCATAAAGCCTTTTGAGAAACCCTTTTAGCATTCACTGTCAACATTACTCATCCAACATTTTTCATGCTTCGTAGTGGTTTTGGGTCATTATCTAATCTATTAAAGTCTCATCTCCAAAACCAAACGTGAGCTGCTTTCAAACACGACTATGTTGTATACTTTCTGGAATCCTGAAATGCAAACACTACAATATTTGTTGAAAAAAATTATAATAAAAACAATGTGTCCATATTTATGTATCCATATAAATAGATAGATATAATAGAAATATACATGTCTCTATTATTTTATTATTATAATTAAAAAAAACCCAAAACCAACCCGTTGCCATTGAGTCAATTCTGACTCATAGTGATCCTATAGAATTCTGTAAATACAACAGAAGTATATACAAAGTACATACTCTCAGAGTGGAGTGGTTAATTTCAGAGTGCAGTCATTAATTCTACAAGGGGTAAAGGAGGGACAGTATGAAGAAAGGCTTAAAAGGAAAAGAATTATGGACAGAGGAAAGCAGACATGCAAAGGCACGCATATGAAAGAGCACAGTTATGTTGAACAATCATCAGTACTTTGATACTGCTGAAGGTTTAAGATGGTGGGGACAGGAATAGCAAAACATTACAGAAGGGAGGTGTTCAGGGTTCAAACTGAAGAACCTCATATACTGTGGAACCTGGGCTTTATCTTTTAGGTCATACAGTACCACTGAAAGATTTCAAGGAGGAATATGACATAAATAGAATTCTACCTGGGAAAACTTCAATCTCAGTAAATATGAAAGTGTAATTTATCTGTAGCCCTAGGACACAGGTTTAATTTGTTTCCTAACAACCATATTGCATGGCTTTTCTGATTTCAAGAAAGACAATAACACATATCATCCTCAAATATGAATCAGAAGTAAAATAAGTACTTAAATTTCTAAATAAGACTAAAGAATCTACCATGCTTACATGGAAACCATACCAAACATCACTTGAAATTATACATGAGCATATATTAAATTCTAGAAGGTGATTTTTTTTTTTACCTTTCTACTGTGGGATGGCACAAGGGCTGCTCCTCCTGGGGCAACAAGTATGTTATTCCCACAACACTGACCACACGCAAACTGAATGGACACACCTGCATCAGATGTTAAATGAGAGTTAGGCTGAATTCCTCTCAAGTGAATCTGCTTTATAGTGGCATTTCCAAAGAATATAAGAGGGATGGTAAAGTTCATTTTAAAAAATGCTTCTCTATAATATTCTGTTAGGTTGTTGAACCAGTCTAATACACTTTAAATATGATTTACCCAAGTACAATCTACATATCAAGTATGTTATGCAAGGCAGGTAATAACATTGCTTTAGCTGAACATTAACTTAATGGCCTTCCATGGATACCTTAACACAGCAATCAGAATTTTAAAAATACACAGGTAGATGTTCTACAAAAACCTCTCCAAGTTTATCATGTGCTAAACTTTATTCGACAAGTATTATAAAGAAATACCCAGCAGTTCAAGGAAAACCTTGCAGCAGCTAGGATAAGTCCTTGGTTTTGAAAATCTGAACACAGCTGATTTTATTAAACAGCTTTTCACCAGGGCTTCCCGACATTCCAGCTTGGCGTCTGTTATTCCCAAGTACAGAGGTCTGGATTTTAAATTCAATTTTAATGACTGTTTCTTCAATGCGTACACAAGCATGCTATGCTGTAGTATCAAAATGCTCACAAACCTGAATACAAACTGTGGGCCTCAAGAAATACTTCATCTTCTCTAAGATTTCCTTCTGCAGAAGGTCCCATGCTATTGTCTTCTCTAGGTGCAGCACAAAAGGCAGTCCGAACCTAACACAGATAAATATTGTAGTAGTCTTAAAATGTGGCAATTCTTTAATTATATAATTCCTTATTCCTGATCTTTTCGAACAGAATCACAATAAAAATGGTATTAGGGCTGTCTCAAAATAAAACAAATAGAAAATTTAAAACACTCATAAGTGGATGAGAAGTCAGAAGCAGATGAGATTTCTAAATGAAATTTAACAGCTTATATACCAAATGGCTTCTAGGAGAGTACGGTGCTAGGAATGAGTTGGCAAGGGGACAGGATTAGGGGAGATGGTGAGGAAAGGGGTGGTGGTGGTGAGAGTGTACATGAGTTGACAAACAGTATGAGTCAAACAGAAAAGGGGTTAGGTGCCAGAGAAATATACAGAGTTGGAATGTCTATCAGGCAGGCAGGCACATCCTGCTCATCGCTGACAACTAGGGAGACACTGGCAAGGAAGTGACACTGAAAGTCAGCTCCTATGCTGGGGCAGAAGCCATCTGGCCTCTGTCATGTTTCCTGTATCAGTGCTGGGCTCACAGGTGTTAAGAGAATCAGAGACAGTAAAGTGGTTCTCAGCCTTGGCTGTACAACAAAATCACCTACCAACCAAAACCAAACCCGCTGCCATCAAGTCAATTTCAACTCATAGCAATCCTACAGAACAGGGTAGAACTGCCCCATAGGATTTCAAAGGCTGGAAATCTTTACGGAAGCAGACTGCCACATCTTTCTCACAAAGAGCGGCTGGTGGGTTCGAACCACCAACCTTTCAGTTAGCAGCCAAGCACTTTAACCACTGCACCACTGGGCTCCTTGAAATCACCTAAGAAACTTTAAAAAATCACTGATGTCCAAGTTAAACCCCTAGAGATTTTGATGTAACCAGTTTGGTATGTGGCCTGAGCACTGAGATTTTTTTAGGGGCTCCTCAGGTAGTTCTAATAGGTAGGTAGCCAAGGTTGAGATCTACCGGTCTAGCCCAATTCTCACCCAAGCCCCAGTCATTCAACCCTATTTATTGTTTGTAAATGTGTTCCACTTTCGTAGATCCATTTCTTAGTGAGGGCAATTCCCTCAGCGTGGAATACCCTTTCCTCCCTTCTTGTAGGCTATTTCCTACTCATCTACATCAAGACCCAGTGGAGGAATTCTTCTCCAGCAAGCATGCTGGTGGTTTGTTATCCCTACTGCAGCACTAACCACACTGTGCTATAAATACTGCCTGCTTATTTTTCTGCCCCCACCAAAAGACCATGAGTTATCTGATAGCAGAACTTGACTTACTTACATAATTGCGTTCTTAGGAGCCCAAGAACCACAGCTAATGCCTAGAAAACAGCAGATGCTTAATAAAAGCTGAATGTATGAATAAGCAAATAAATGAAAGAACGAATGAACACACTAATAGATGAACTCTGATTCAACCCAAAGCAGAGGTTCTAAGATCAGCAAGAAACCCATTCCTAACAACCATCAAGCAGTTTAGTCACATTACTACTCAACAGTGAACCTATCTACCTAAAAACTACTGTGATCTTAAATAAGTCACAAGCACGTGTAAATCATCCAGGCACATTTTTCTTATGATGACGTTTTCACTCTTAGGATAATAGCATCAGGGTCTGGAGCAAGATCACAGCAGGAGCAACTGCATACTCCCATCCCCAACAAAATACCAAAATAAAACAAACAAGAAAAAAACAAGCAGAAACTGGTGTAACTTTGTCAGAACTCTGTAGAACAGTCAAAAGGTTACAACTACTAAGTAAATGCTGGATCAAGAAAAAGGTGACATATAAACAGTAGGAAAGCTTTGGTTACTACAAGGCTGTGCCCCACCCCCTCCCCAGCTAGGTGTGGCCACCTTAAAGTGGCAGCTTGCACTCCTGGAGAGGGAGTCTGGTCTCTGATTCTAGACAAAGCACCAGCAGACTTTATTTGTAAATTTATGTCTGTCCTAAACTGTCTAGGGGCTGACTGCAGGACTGAATCAAGGTCTTCAGTCTTGGTTTGGACTGCCTCCAAGCTCATGCAAGGCTGAGGGACAACAGGAAATAACACAAGGCTGTAACTGCCTGTAGATGCCTGGGGCTAAAGAGTACCATTAAGTCATACAATAGACACCTAAAGACTGGAAAGAGAGGTTGGGGACAGAGTTTCAGAAATAAAGGCTTTCAAAAGCACTGTGGGGGTGGGGGAGACAGGGAGGACTGAGAAAGCCACATGCATTCCCAGGGCAAGCTGCATCCTCAGCAATTACCTGAGAAGACCCCACATTTTCACTTTGGGCTGAGAGAGTGCAAACCTGGCTAAGTGCTGAAGGCAGGCCCAGGCACAGAGCCAAATCGCAAAGACTGGGAGAAATTATTGTTTTATATCGGCTTTTGTTTGTTCGTATTTCCCCTGGCATTCAAGAAATTCTCCGTCATAACACCAGCTGAACGCAAGCTAAGAAACAGAGACCTCCTGCACATCAAGAGAGGCAGAATTTGCAGATAGTCAGGGGAAGTCACCAATAAATGAAGAACAAGAGCCTTTAATAATTTAAAAACAAAAAACAAAAAACCAGCAACACTAGGGAAGGGGAAGAATCTGACTTCCACAGTTACCACATCATAATAGTCAAATATCCTAGTTTCAACAAAAAACCACAAGGTATACAGAGAAACAGATAAGGACGGCCCATTCAAAAGAACAAAATAAAGTGACAAAAATCCTCCCTGTGGTAGTCCAGTTAATGAACTTACTAGGCAAGGACTTTAAAACAACAGTATAAAATATGCTCAAAGAAACAAAGGAAAAAATAAAGAACTAAAGGAAATCAGGAAAACAGTACAGGAAAAAAGAGAGTACCGTTAAAGAGACAAATTATAACAAGAAACCCAACAGAAACACCGGAGCTGAAAACCACAATAATGGAAATGAAAAATTCACTGGAGGGGCTAAACAGCTGATTTGAGCTGGCAGAAGAAAGAATCAGTGAACTAGAATAGAGAAAAATTAAAATTACAGTCTGAGGAACAAAAAGAAAACAGAATGAAGAAAAGTGAACAGAGCCTAAGGAACTTGTGGGACACCATCATGTGGACCAACATATGCATTTGTGGGAGTCCCAGAAAGAGAAGAGACAGAGAAAGGAACAGAAAGAGTATCTGAAGAAATAATGGCCAAAAACTTCTCCAAATCTGGTGAAAGATATGAATTTACACATCCAAAAAATCAACGAGTAAAATAGAGTAAACCCAAAGAGATCTACAACAAGACACATTATAGTCAAACCCTCAAAAACCAAAGATAAAGAGAGAATCATAAAAGTAGCAAAGGAGAAGTGAATCATCACATGCAATAGAACCTCAATAAGATCAAGTGCCGATTTCTCCTCAGAAATCATGGAGACCATAAGGCAGTAGGATGACAAATTTAAAGTGCTGGGGGGAAAAAAAAGAATTGCCAACCAAGAATTCTATATTCAGCAAAACTGTCCTCCCAAATGAGGGAAAATTAAAACACTCCTGGGAAGGAAAAAAAAAAAAAAAAGAGGTTGAAGGAGTTCATTACCACAAAATCTGCCTTACTAAATAGTGCTAAAGAGAGTTCTTTACATTGAAATAAAAGGACACTAGAGAGTAACTTGAAGCCATACAGAGGGGAAAAAAAAAAAAAGATCTCCAGTAAGGGTACTGTCATGAGTAAATGTAGAGGCCAACTTTATGGTATATTTCATTATAACTCTACTTGCTATGTCCTATGTTATTTAAAAGACAACTGCATAAAAAATAATTATAAATTTATGTTACTGAGCACACAGGTGTAAAGGTATAACTTGTGACAACAACATAAAGGGGGGAGAGGAGCAGTATAGGAACATAGTTTTTGTATGTAATTGAAGTTAATTTGATATCAATTTAAAGTAGGTTACTATAAAATTACAATGTTAAATGTAATACCCATGGTAACCACAAAGAATATATCTAAAAAAAACATACACAAAACCAAATGAGGAGAGAATCAAAATACTTCATTACAAAAAAATCAACTAAACACAAAAGGAGGTAGTACTGGAGCAAATAAGGAACAAAAAAAGATACAAGGTACAGAACGGAAACAGCAAATGGTAGAAGTCCTTCCTTTAAATTACTTTAAACTGATTAAACTCTTCAGTCAAAGACAGAGGTCGGCAGAATGGATAAGAAAACATATCCAACTACATGCCATCACAAGAGACACAAACAGGGTGGAAGTGAAATAATGGGGGAAAACATATTCCTTGCAAACACTAATGAAAAGGGAGCTGAGGTGGCTGTGTTAATATCAGACAAAACAGACTTTAGGTCAACATCTGTTGTTAAGACTCAAAGTGCATTATATAATGCTAAAAGAATATCGAGAAGAAATAATTAAAATATATGCACCTAACAGCAGAGCCCCAGAATATATGAAGAAACACTAACAGAACTAAAGAGAGAAACAGACAGATCTATAATAATAGTTAGAGACTTCAACACACCACCTTCAATAATGGATAGAACATCAGGACAGAAGATGAATAAGGACAGAGGACTTCAACAATACTATAAACCAACTAGAGCCCTGGTGGTGCAGTGGTTAAGCGTCCGGCTGCTAACCACAAGGTCAGCAGTTCGAATCCACCAGCTGCTCTCTGGAAACCCTATGGGGCAGTTCTACTGTGTCCTACAGGGTGGCTGCAAGTCGGAATTGACTTGACAGCAATGGATTTATTTGGTTGGTTTGGATAAACCAACCAGCTCTAACAGATATATATGGAATACTCCACCCAAAAACAGCACAATACACATTCTTCTTCAGTGCACATAGATTGTTCTCCAGGATATATCATATGCTCGGTCACACAACAAGTCTCAATAAATTTAAAAAGACTGAAATCATACAAAGTACCTTCTCCAATCATAACAGAATGAAACTAAAAATCAATAAAAGAATAAAAACTGGAAATTTTACAAATATATGGAAATCAAACAACACATTATTAAACAACCAATGGGTCAAAGCAGAAATCAAAAGGGAAATCAGAAAATACCTAGAGATGAATAAAAAGGAAAGCACAATATACCAAATCTTATGAAATGTAGTGAAGGCAATGCTCAGAGGGAAATTTATAGTGGTAAATGACTACATTAAAAAAGAAGAAAGATCTCAAATCAATAACCCAACTTTACACCTTAAGGAACCAAAAAAAGAAGGGCAAACAAAGCCCAAACCTACCTGAAGGAAGGAAATAACAAAGATCAGAGAGGATATAAATGAAATAGAGAATTAAAAAACAGAGAAAATCAATAAAACCAAAATTTGGTGCTTTGAAAAGATCAGTAAGATTGACAACTTTAACTAGACTTATAAAGAAAAAAAGAGAGAAGACAAATAACTAAAACCAAAAACGAAAGTGGCAACACTGCTACTGATCCTACATAAATAAAAAGGATTATAAGAGAGTACTATGAACCCCGGCAAGCACGGCCCCTGGATTCTCTATCAGCCCAGAACTAAAACAATTTCCAAGGCCAACTCTTCAGACAGGGATTGAACTGCACTGTGGGACATAAAGTGATACTCTTGAGGAGTGTGCCGCTTAGCTCAAGTAGATACAAGAGACTAAACAGGCAGCTTCGTCCGGAGGTGAGATGGGAAGGCAGAGAGGGTTAGAAGTTGGTTGAATGGACACAGGGAATCAGGGGTGGAAAGGAGGAGTGTGCTGTCACAGTATGGGGAGAGTAATTAGAGTCACATAACAATGTATGTATAAATTTTTGTATGGGAAAAAAATCTAAAAAAAAGAATACTATGAAAAACTGTACACCAATAAATTAGATAACCTATATGAAATGGAAAAATTCCTAGAAACACATTAATTACCAAAATTGACTCAAGAAGAAACAGAAAATCTCAACAGACCTTTAACAAGGGAAGAGATTCAAAGAATATTCAAAAACCTGCCAAGAAAGAAAAGTCCAGGACTAGATGGCTTCACTGAGGAATTCTACAAAACATTTAAAGAAGACTAACACCAAGCCTTCTCAAACTCTCCCAAAAGACGGAAGAGGAGGAAACACTTCCTAATTCAATCTATGAGGCCAGTATTACCTGATACCAAAGACAGATAAAGATACCACAAAGAAAGAAAACTACAGACCAATATCTTTTATGAATATAGATGCAAAAATCCTCAACAAAATACTAGCAAACTTAATCTAAGAACATATTAAAAAGACTGTACACCTTGATCAAGTGGGATTCATCCCAGGAATGCAAGAGTGGTTCAACATAAGAAAATCAATTAATGTAATACACCAAAATTAACAGAACAAAGGAGAAGAGCCACATGATTATCCTAATTGAGGCAGAAAAGGCATATGACAATACTCAACACCCTTTCATAATAAAAATACTCAGCAAACTAGTAACAGAAGAGAAATTCCTCAATATGATAAAAAGGCATCTATGAAACACCTACAGTGCATATCATACTCAATGGAAAAAGACAGCTTTCCGCAAAAGATAAAGAACAAGACAAAAATGCCCAAGTTCACCACTGCTATTCAACATTGTACTGGACTTTCTATCCAGAGCTAATAGGCAAGAAAAAAAATAAAAGTTATCCAAATCTTAAAGAAGTAAAACCACATCACAGATGACATGATTTTACATATAGAAAATCTCAAAGAAACCAAAAGAAAGCTACTAGAGCCAATAAACCAATTCAGCAAAGTCTCAAGTACAAAATCAACATACAAAAATCAGTTGTGTTTACAGCTTATAAAGACAGTGCTCTACATTCTACCTTGGTGAGTAGTGTCTGGGGTCTTAAAAGCCTGTGAGCGGCCAT